CTATCTATCTATCTATCTATCTATCTATCTATCTATCTATCTATCTATCTATCTAAAACATTCTCCTGTGCGTTCACTCTAAGACTAACAGCTAGTTTCAAAATCCAGTGTGCTGCACATTTTGTTGTGACTACTAAACACAAAAGCGCCAGATGATAAAATTGAGACAAGGTTTAAAAAAAAGTCGTGTTCTGCTTTCCGCATTATTACCTCTGCATTTTATGCCGAAGAAAAGTGGGGATAGTATGTACCCTTATCTGACGCTTTTGTAACAGGAAACCATTCTAATGCTCCTCATTCAAGCTTAAAACTGCCGATTGTCGCCCCCCCCCCTCCCCCATAACAGGATTTGATCCCATCAGTCAGTTTGAGATAAAAGCTCATATCTTACAGAGTTTGCCACATCATTTGATGGTTTACACAATCAAATGCTTCTAATTAATAATGTTTTCTATATGGCATTTGTGCTGTTTACTAATATGGCAGAAACACGTATTAGAAGAGTCCAGATAAACAAATAAAATGTCACAGTTATTCTCACCATATAATTTCCCCTTACTGACGATTGACAAACAATCTGTAATAGAAACATCGAGATGGCATCTTGTGTCTTGTGGAAACTGGGATTATAACTTAAATAAGTGCAAAGAAAACAAACCAAACTTACACAAGGTAATGCTGACAGGTGAGCCTACGTTGGTTATACCATAACTCGTGTCACTTCCTGGAAACTCTGGGTACATGTTGACAGTAAATGTGATATCACCGGCCTGTAGACTTGACAGAGGGACAGTTTGGGTACATGAGGACCTGTAGTACTTCACAGAGCTAGATGTGACCTCAGTATGAGAGTACTGCACTCCGGTGTTGTCAATGGGGTTTCCTGGTTCCTGGAAAGAAAGAGAGAAGCGTCCTAAAGCGAAATATTGTGAATAACACAGAGAAGTGTAAAGACCATCATTATTTTCTTCTGCTAACTTTCAAGTCACAATAGATAGTTGTTTTAGTCCAAATTAGAGCAAACACGTCTTCCTAGAAACGTTTCAGTTCAGATTCTTTGAAAACAAGTAAAAAGGATATAGATCTATGAGTAACAGAAGCCCTTCACCCATATGAGAGATGGGACCGGGGGGGGGGGGGAGGGGGTGGAATTCGCAGCTCAGTGAATCACGACAGCGAGTTGAAGTTGTGATGATCTGATAGATTTTATGTTGTTTTGTTGTCTAAAGAAGACATTAACTTCCTTTTCCAGTCTGGTCACAATTTCAGTTTCTGTTTGGGACATTCCGCTTTGCCGACATTAACTTAGAGACACTTGAGTTACTGTTCTAGGAATCTGTGTGCGCTTACGTACACACACACGCGCGCGCGCGCACACACACACACACACACACACACACGCACATGCACATACACTAACACACACATACACACATATTAACACATACATATATACACATACACACAAACTCACAAACACATGCACATTAAAAATAATATTCACAGACTAAACGTTACTGTATCGAGTTTGTGGTTGGCTTGTATGTTTGCAGGTGCCGCGGGGACAACATGGTCACTTTTAACTTATTTTAAGGACAAGCGGGCTAACCCAGATTTCGGGGATTTCCACAAATCTCGACCTACACCAAAAGTGGGCATTGCACTACTTTTGGAGAAGTTTGGGTTTACTGATGTGTATATTTGTTTAGTTATAAAGAAACACTCCTTACCTTTTAAAGCAACTGCAGACTTTCGACAGTTTTTTTAATGGACTAGCCCTAAAAATGGCAACACCTCAAGTCTTTTTTTTCTCTTTTTTTTTGGTAAGTGTTTTACGGCGCTCGCTACTGCATTAGTCAAATGAGCGCGCGGAACACATTAAACATTTTCAGTTGATAAGAAATGTTGAAGTTTGCCAGGGTGGCGGCCAAAGCCTACTCTTATCGATTTTGGACCACAACGGGAGCTTTAACGTGCGCAACTTGCACACAGGACCTCCGAGATTTTTCGCCCTTGGAGAAGGCTAGGTATAGATCTTTTCTACCGTAAGATCAGGAGTGTGGCTGAAAGACAGCAGTAAGCAGGAGCCAAGGAGTTGTAGTAGAAAGGCTGCAGAAAGAGTCAGGAGCCCGTTGGATAGGGCAAAGGAGGTGAGGGGGTGAGGGCAGTAAGCCGAGTCGAAAGTAGAAGACAGAAAATTGCTAGAGAGCAGAAAAGGATGTGAAAGGAGACAATTTTTAGAGAAGAACTTTTTTCCGTCGCTAGCTGGATTCGAACCCACGACCTTATGAATGAGAGGCGAACACCTTAACGTCTAGGCCACGAGAGCCCCCAACACCTCAAGTGAAGAGTTCATTGTATGTCGCTGTTGAAAATGACCCCAAAGATTGCGATATTCTCATATCAGGTGTGGTTTTTCTTTTCATCAATTTTTTTTTCTGTACTGTATCAGTTTTCACTTGAGTACTGTTTCACATAATAGTACCAATCTGTTTGGTAGAAAATTCTTTTAAGATGTAATGCTCACATGGATAGGCCAGACCACTTAACCCGATGTTAACGAGTGGACAAGCTTGGTGGGTTAGCCCACTGTACAGGGGATAGACTAGTTGTATATGTTACAGTCAAACCCCGAAACTAGTAATTCTCAGGAAATGCCTGAAAATTCAGTCATTCCCAAGTAATTCCTGCTTTCCAGGAATGCCAAAAAATTTTAGACACTCCTGGAGAATGACTGAAAATGAAAGCCTCGGATTTCCAACTTTGCCTGGTTGTTATTTTGACCACTAGGCAAACCATTTGACTATCACTCAGTGTTCTTTGCTTTGTCACAGTTCTGGTTTGAGTGCGGTGTTGATTTAACTGTGTTGAGCGAAAGTGAGGAGTAGCAAAAGTTACAAACCTGTAACCTGTCATTAGATATTCACTTTATAGTTAAGCTTGAATATGGCTGAAAATCCTTGTGAAGAAACTTTTACAAGAAGGCTTTTTGAAAAGTATGAAATTACGTATTACCCAAGACAAAATATCAGGAAATTATACATCAGTTGCAGGCGACTTTGGGTGTAGCCAGAAAAACAGCTCGACAGTACAAGCTTCAAGCCAGGTCAGTTTTAGCTTTTGTTTTTAACTGTCTGTGTGTCTGTCTGTGTGCCTGTCTTTCTGTCTGCCTGCTTGTGTGTCTGTCTGTCTGTGTGCCTGTCTTTCTGTCTGCCTGCCTGCCTGCCTGTGTGTCTGTCTGTCTGTCTGTCTGTCTGTCTGTCTGTCTGTCGGTCTGTCTGTCTGTCTATCTGTCTCTCTCATTCAATGCCGTCGTCAAACGATCGCCTTACCAAGCGCTGCTGGGTATTGAACCAAGGGTGAGCCTCAACATCTATACCAACGGAAATGCTGGGCCAGTTTCAGTCAGGGGATGTTTTACGAGCCTTTGCCCAGCAAACAGCTCTAGCAGCTCGTTCTCATGTCGACGAAATCACAGGCGTTGTCCAAGTCACATAATTTGCTGCTGCTAACGGGCAAGCCACAAACCTGAATTATCCTCATGTCGACCAAGTTGATGGCATTCGCACTGTTGAAAACGTGGCACTTCTTGATGCCAAAAAGGCTCAAATACACTTTCATGGAGAGCAGAGTAGGAAATTCCAGATGGAACAAGCAAAACGGATGGTAAAAAGAAGCAGAATAGAACTTGCCCCAGGCCAGAAAGGTGACAATGTTGTCATTCCCATTCCTCTTGTTGATCGGGGCCGTGGCGACCCACGAAACATTCTGACTGTTGTTTTGGACAAAAATGACAACAATAACTACACGCTGGCTACCAAACACGGAATCTTAAAAGGGGCAAACAGCAGGAACGAATTTGAACTTTGCCCTGAAAAATTACTTCTGATGAGTGATGTTAACTGCACCACACAAGTCAGTTTAAGAGAAGCTGTTGTATTTGGCTCTCAGTGTGGCGGTCAAGGTTACATTAAATGTAACTGTTCAAGGTCAAAGAAATGTCAAATAAACAGATGCAAATGCTTCAAAGCAAGCTCAAATGTAATAGTCGTTGCCACCAAAGTCTCAACTGCAAAAACAAATGAGCTCATGTAAATGAACATTCTATATTTAATTATCACTTTTTATTATTAAATTTATTTTCATTAAACGGGATGAATAAATTACAGCATGCATCCCTTGTCATTTATTTTACATCTGTCATTTCGCCATTTTGCTTTTTTCCGATGGTAGTCATTCCTAGGAAATGCCTGATGGCCTATTTCAGTCATTCTCTGAAAATGACTAATATTTTTAGGCATTCCTGGAAATGCCTGATCAAAACAGGAATTATTTGGGAATGACTGATTTTTCAGACATTTCATGAGAATGACTAGTTTCCGGGTTTGACTGTAACATATATACGTCAATTCAGGAATACTTCAGATAGAAAGGTAATCCTTATTTTTGATGGGATGGCCCATGTCACCCCCAGATTTGCTTCAAAAGCGTTGTCTGCATATCTGCACAACACAGCAGACCAGGTCACAACTGACTCATATGCAAAACCACAGAAGAATTCATTTGAAAACAAATAGGCAGTGATAGACTTCATAGGTCCAAAAACTTTACCTTCGATTTTCTCAAAACAGCATTTTTTCGGGATAGGCCCACTTGTGCTTAAAAGTGACCATATTTACTGATAAAGAATGACCTTTTTTTTTTCGCTCGTTCATGGGGACCCTGAACAACACTATTGCCTTTGTGACATTTTGCTTTCCCATGGTTACGAGTGAATTCTATTCAGTTGTCAATTACGTGTGTCCATGACTACATGAGCTAATATCACAGCTCCAAGCCTGTACTCACCCAGGCCGATGATTTCCTGTAGAACTGACAGAGAGCTTGTGGGTACACTCTGTCCGTCTCACACGTCACCGACACAGAGGAGTTGTCTCCCGAGAAGCGTGGCTGGTCACAAGACACATTTGAAGGTTTTTCTGGAAAATAGAAGAGGTGTGAGATCACAGACTTGTTCTTAACACAACATTACCATCATGTCTCAACAA